CACAGAGGCGTTCTGCACGTGTGTATCACACCGAGCAGAACACCTCTGTACGTGTGAAAACGCACGAGCAACAATATAATATTTTTTTGGTTTTCTTTGGGGGAGGCCGTTAATAATACAAATTAAAATATAATTTCGTTCGATACAACATAATTATAATCCGTACAAATAACTAAATAAGTAAGTCCGATAACAACGTAAACAAAATTACAATAATATAGTACTACCTATGCCTAGAAGTCAACGTCGTCCAAAAAGCAAGTCGATCCGCGTAAAAATCTCGTAGAGGTAGTAAATTGGGAGCTACAAAATACCTCCACTGAGGATGGAGACGAGGAAGAGGGCATGAAACCGGTACTCGTATGATCATAAAATGATCGTTATGTAGCGACATAGGAATAATACGTGATAACGCGGGGTTCCCAACTAGTGGTAGGTGAGTGATGCTACCCCGTTCAGTGAATATTAATACCATTGCGTTGTATCTTGTAGCGATCGCCAACCCCATATCTGTTGACATCCATTTCGTCCGTGGCGCCGGTCCCCTCTCATGACTGCATGTCAAGATATAATCAGCGACTGTATTTCGACCCCCCTCATCCCCACCAAAAATAGTAGCATATAGATTGTAACGCTCCATAAACTCCTCAACCAAGTCAGTTCTGACTTGTGGCCATCTCTCTTGACTGCCGTAAACAACTTCGGCTATGCATCGGTAGCCACAATTTCCATCGGCCCTCACATTAACATATGAGGCTATAGACTGTGCGAGAAACGGAGGAAGGAAGGAAAAGAAATTGACCCGGTCGCCGGCAGTAACAACTGATTCTTCCGTCGATTTAGTACGTCCGCGAGGACGACCTTTAACCTTTGACTCTGGCGTATCAGCTTTAAATTTTGAGTCTGGCGTCCTTTCGGTCGGGGTTTTGCGACCCCTAGAGCCGGAAGAAGATTTAACCTCGGATTTCCGATTCATCATGTGCTCGTGTCCGGACAAGTTCCTCTTCATCGAGTTATTCTTAGGTCGTCCCTTGGCCTTCACAAATGTCGGCTCTTGTAAATACGTTGAAGAAGGATTATTTAGGTCCCGTAAATAGTCGGCCGCATTTTTTTGGGACATGTAATCTTTGTTTGATAACTTCTCGAACTCATCGAGAAGAACTTTCTTAATTGCAACTGTGCGATCAAACGGTTCCTCCTCGTCCTCCCATGGATCCGACTTTGGCTCGACAACCAACGTTCTCCAGAATGGATGTAACTGTTGCGGATAAAAAGTATCTCCCTCAGCAATTTTAACTGCAATCATACACGCACACGGGAGTCCGTGGGTTCGGCTTAGGTAACAGTTGCAACTATCCGGATTATTTTCCAATTTTTCGTACTCTTTATCCAACAGGTCCAGTGCTTTGTGTGATACGTTACATACCAAAGCACCGAAGCACGACAGTGAAGTACTGTACATCCTGACTGTTCTACTACTTTCGTTTTCCACCTTCAATTCATTAATTTGAAGGTCAACTTGCGCATCTAGTGCATTTTGAACTGTATCCATAGCTCCAGTCGATGTTTGGATCCAACGCTTCGATGCACGATGTGCACTCTCTACTCTGTTTCGAGAAAACACTCAAATAATGAATAAATGTAACATGTGTATAAAAGATTGTACGTAACGAGTTTATAGTAAAATCAATTTATATACCTGTTAGTCGTCGTGTTACCGAAATGAACGATGTTGTTGGTCCAACACTTAACAAATCTCTCCTTATAAATCAACCACGTTTCATTGATGTAAGTTATCAGCTTCTGATATTGCCCGTACAAACTAACTATCTCGCTATAGTTGCATTCGTATTCTTCCTCAGTCTCAGATTCGACTAATTTTGCCCACACCGTCCTCCGGAACAGTATACCCAACTTGGTGTTACCCAAGAATTTTGACGCGTTTGCCTCAACGTTTCTGTTTATGTGATATAAACATAACATGTGATGCGAATGTGGAAACACGTTTGGCAATGCTTTCAGTAGGCCCAGCTCACGATCTGTCAGTATCACTTCTGGTTCTATCCCGATTGGTAATATGTCTCGCAAACATCGCAATGTCCATGCATAAGTGTCCCCATCTTCACGTGACATAAAAGCAACGGCAATAGTGAAGTTCCTTCCCACGGGAGTAACCCCAATGATCTCCAAAAGAGGCATTTCATATCTACATGAAGGTAATTATAATTTAGTCAACTCTTACATATATATATATATATATATATATATATATATATATATATAATAAATGTAATACACATTTAAATAATTATTACCTGTTAGTCTTGTACGTGCAATCCATCAGGATGACGTATGGAAATAACTGCAAAAGCTTTATTGAATCAGGGTGCGCAAACATAACGTCTTGCACTGTATCACCAGCTGGATTTGTTCGATGCCATTTGCTGTATCCACTCTCACTTAGTTCGTGCCACAGATGTTGTATAACTGTTTTTCCTTTCATTTCCTCTCGTCTAATTTTCTGTGATTCATTGTACACTTCTCTCAAGGACGCAGCCGTATCCGGATTCATCTGCCTCAGATGATGCAAAATTTCCTTCGGCTTCACATGGCTCTTTTTCAGTATCTTTGTCACTTCTCGTTGCTCTTCAGTCAGGCGACTTAGCGAACGTAGTCCTTGTGGATATTTATGAGGATTATGATTGTGCTTGCCATTTTTGATGGTAAGGCGCCATAATCCATCACGACCCTCTTTACCCCATAGCGCAAAAGGGCATTTACACTTTATTGAACCGGACTTCCGGCTTGTTTCGACCTCTGCATTTTTTCCTCGACTCTTATAGGCTCTTTTGCAAGTTAAATACTGTCGGCCTTCGTGGTAAGACTGTCGCCTAATCTCATGTCCATGACTGATGGCCATATTCATCGCCCACTCGACTAGTGCATCTTTACTATCAAATGCAGTCGAAATTGTGAAAAATTCACTGAAATCATGTAGCTCGAATGTTTCAATATCTTCATCCACATCTATGTATACTTCCTGTTTTTATATTAATGTAATTAGCAAATTATAAAACTAAAGGATAAAACTAAAAAAAAAAAAAAAAAAACACGAAAAAGAAACAAAAACATTGTGGTGCTCGTGTGACACGAACAGAGAGGTT